ACCCACTAACTTGAAGGGAGGATGCAATGCAGGAGGACGCGAAGCACATGTCCGCTACGAGGGCGTTAGCGGATTGAGTGGGGGAGTATGTCACGGACCTAAAGAACTCCCCTACCCATGTGGCAAGGCAAGATAGCTTATTGCGGGTTTATTGCTATATATCTCGGAAGTGCACTGACGATGTCCCTGTAACAGGTATTGATGGCATGCTTTCTATCCTTGTGTTGTGTTCAGGTTGCGTATCGTGAGCTTGCCGGCTGCATGTGTGGGGTAGGCTGCCTTGGGGGTCCCTAGAACCTCCAGGGCCGAACGAGAGGTCCGTTACAGATTGCATTCTAACAACAATTCATCTAATAAACCATATTCCATCACCCATTATTGGCAATAGGACACCTTATGAGTTGTTTTCCAGAAACCACTAGACTATGACCACCTTAAAACCATTTGTTGTCTTTGCTTCACATCCACACTCAGTATGTCTTTCTTGGTTATCTTCTTAGGTACAAAGGCTACAAAAGTCTATGATCTACAAACTCGCAAAGTGTTCATTGGTAGGAATTTTTCGTGAAAATTCCTTTCCCTTCAAATAGATCTCCTCACCTCGCCTCACTCACCTACAAATCCATATATATTCCCTATACTTGAACCTATTTTTGACTCTACTCCTTCTCATAATCCACCACTTCTTGTATCACCAGCAATACAACCACCAACTCCCAACCTCATTTCCACTTCACTTGATTCTGATATAGTATCTTCTGATGCAGTTTCTGATCCTAATTTCCCAACTTCATTATCAAACAATAGCATACCTAAATCTCTTTTACAATCTTCTCCCAGAAAATCTAACAGAACAAGGCAATTGCTCTCTTACCCGAATAACTATCAGTGTGATTTACCATCTTCTTTCATTACGATCAAGTCATCCGCAATGCTGGTCACACCATGTATATAGGGTAAACCTTACTCTTTATCTCATTTGATTTCCACCAATCGACTAGCTCCAAACACAAAGCTTTTACTACCTCCCTTTCAAACATTTTTGAACCAAAATTTTATAATCAAGTCGTCAAGTATCCCCACTAGTTCGAAGCTATGAAATGTGAGATTAAAGCACTTGAAAAGAATAATACTTGGACTCTAATGCATCTGCCACCTAATAAACACACCATTAGGTACAAATGGGTTTATAAAGTTAAGTTCAAGGCAGATGACACTGCGGAGAGATACAAAGCCCTGCTAGTTGCTAAAGTATACACTTAACAAGAGGTCTTGACTTTTTTATACTTTTTCTCTTGTTGTAAAATTGTTGCAGCAGTAAACAATTGGTTTTTATACCAATTAGATGTTAATAATGTATTTCTACATGGTGGCTTATATGAGGAAGTTTACATGAAGCTGCGACAAAGTTACCTTACCCTTGATTCTTGATTGGTAAACTAAACAAAAGTTTTTATGGCCTCAAACAAGCCTCTAGACAATGGTTTGCAAAACTCACTACCAGCCTCATCTCATATGGATTTCATCGGTCCAAGTCTGATTATTCTCTATTTTTAAAATAGCTTATAATTCTTTCATGGTCCTTTTAGTTTATGTTGATGGTGTTCTATTTGCTAGCAACAATCTCACTGAGATTAAAGTTCTAAAGAAATTCTCAGATGATCAATTCATAATCAAGGATTTGGGCGAATTAAAGTACATCCTTGGCTTGGAAATTGCTCGATCACAACAAGGAATCACCCTCTGTCAAAGGAAATATGCTTTAGACATATTAGAGGATTTTAGTTTTTTGATCTGTCTTTCCAATGTAATCTACTCTCAAGCTGAAAACAGAAGACACTAACCTCCTATCTGATCCTTCCATCTGTAGAAGACTCATGGTAAATTGATTTATCTCACCATTACTAGACCCGACCTTGCTTATTCAGTGCAAGTCCTCGATCGATTTATATCTAAACCTGCTTAATCACATTTGGACGCTGCTCATAAGGTTCTCAGGTACATTAAAGCCACCCCGGTCAAAGCTTATTTTTTCCTTTCAAATCGGATTTTGTACCTCAATGCTTACAATGACAATGA